AATGTGAAACGTTACTCAACTCACAATTTTTTTTGAAGTTTGCATTTTTAATCTTCAGACTTTGCTCTATCTGATGGAAGAAGAACCAGTATTCTAACACCTTGAGTAAGCTCACAATCACGTCCAACATTTATGCCAAGACTTTTGCATCAGTCGTTACCACGACGAAAGAAAAAATTCTATTTATCGTGAAATTAACCAATCAGAAAATCGAAACGACAAAAGCACCATCTGAGAGAACACGAATTTGGATATGACTGTCGGTAGCAATGAAATATCATACATCAAAATTACAACAAATCATTATTTTTACTCTTCTCCTTATCACTCAATTGCCTCATAAAACTGTAAAATTTCTCATTAACGGAAAACAGACCGTTCAAATCATGAAATATTCATCAACTGGTAATCCAAACAATAGAAAAACTATTGCGAACAAATCACCCGACCATCTCCGATATATCTACAGTACTGGACAAAAGTAGGTATCCCCCTTGAACTAGCATAAAAATGAATGATAATGAGCTGATATTTTAGAGGAATATGAGTCATGATTAAACCTGATCGCAAGCACCAGCCTAGGCTTGATTGATTGCCGTCTAACGGAGCTATGCATCGAGCATCATGCTCACTTTGTAACTCCTATATCTTAGTCATTTTGAGTGTTTTGTTATTGTGCAATATCTCATTCGAAAGTCCAGCTCAAGAGCTATCTATGGTATAAAATTTGTATAGAAATCTTTTGAAACGGTTGAGATATTGATTTTCTATTGAAAACCTTCGACTGCATCTCAAGTCTAGTTTCCAGTAAAATACATGTAACTCAGACTACATTCAACGAATTTGCTTAAAAATTGTAGCAAAGATTTCTGAAGAGTGACGAAGTATTTCCTAAAAATTTCACTACTAAAACATTAGATGGAACAGAGATAAGATAATAAAATGATCCTCTCATGGCATCTCTCGCCAATTGCTTATAACTCGAAAGTATGCAAAGATCTTTGGATATATGATACTACACACTTAGAACTTTATTTCTAATATAAAAGAAGATCTAATGTTAGTCTAGAAGTATATAAATAAACAAAATAATTTCATTTCAACAAGGCATCGACGATGATAATAAAAAAGTCAATTCTTTTTATTTATCATGAAATCATAGCCAATTCTTTTTCTCATTTTAAAAGTTACTCAAATGCATGAAAAAATAGTCACAATTAACTTAATAACAATCCATTCAACAACAGAATAGTTAGGTTAACAAAATGATAGATCACGTGACTCGAAATCAACACATTGTATAGTCCCCATGAGATTCAATCAGTGCCTCTACACGATTAGGCATACTGTGCATCAGATTTGTTGCAAGCTCCTTTGGTAATAATTTCCATTCTTTTGTGAAACACGATCTGAAAGGAGTGTTGAAGTGTATAGGGTAGAAATTTTGGACCCACTCCCCCCACAGACCGTGACAGAGAAAATTCATATCCATCACAGACCGTGACAGAGAACCTCCGAACCCATCACAGACCGTGACAGAGAACCCCAAATGCCATCACAGACCGTGACAGAGAACTCCAGAGACCATCACAGACCGTGACAGAGAACCTCCGAACCCATCACAGACCCTGGCAGAGAACCTCTGGATCCATCACAGACTGTGACAGAGAACCCCAAAGGCCATCACAGACCGTGACAGAGAACCCTAGAGACCACCACAGACTGTGACAGAGAACCTCCGAATCCATCACAAACCCTGACAGAGAACCTTCGGACCCATCACAGCCCGTGACAGACGAGCTTCAGGGGCCATCATAGACTGTGAAAGAAGAGTTCAAGGAAGTATCCGAGATAATACATAACTAACACATGACTGGAGCATATATGGAGTATTATCCTGTTTCAGCTCTATAATGTAAAGTAAGCCACGATGAAGAAATGTACACCAATATGCATAAAAAAGAACAATTTTTATAAGATTGGCAGCAGCAGGTACATCGTGTTTCACATTTTTAATCCCGCAAGGGATTGCGCTAACAGCTATTTTTCTTTGAAAGTTGTTGTTGATGAAATTTGGCAGGCTTCACAAAATTCGTATCATAGTAAAAAAAACGATTTTTTTGAGGGTGCCTTTAGTATTTTGCTTCTCCTGACGCAAGGAGTAGGTGTTTTTTAAAAAAACAAAAAACATGCACCTCAATTTAGTTGTAGTTACTACATAAAAAGTTTCAGCTCGAAAAGATAAATTGTCGAGTTTTGTGGGAGGGGGAAGACTTTTGGTCATTTTTTATCCTTGGAGTCTCCGGAAGTCCATTAAAGAGTCATCTGGGAATTTTGAGTGTATGACAAGTTTTGTTCTACTCATTGAGATCTATCCACCATGAAAGTTTCATAAATTTTTACTTATCCGTCCCTTAGAAACACCGGAAAGGAAGGTTCCCTTAAGGAAGTATGGTCGGATAATTTTGACAACAGATTTAGATTCAGCATGAAATTCTGCATCTAACGAATATTACCCGACAGCCCGGACATACTTCCTTTGGTTCGATAATTCAGATGATTCATAGTCAGGGTCCCTCGATGATGGATTTGTGCTGTTTTTCTCTCCAATTTCTCTCTTCAGAAGAATGTCCAGGTCATTCTGCCACTAGATTTAGATTCAGCATGAAATCCTGTATCGAAATATGTTTCATTGATGCCCCGGACATATTTCCTTATGGTCGATAATCAGGACGATTCATCATGGAGTACGCCCTTTTCATTAATTTTTGCCTTTTTTTTTAGATTTGCTTCCTTCTCAAGTATGCCCGAGCAATCAATTACGCTCATTCTGAATCAGCATTTGATTCTGCATCGATTCATGCAAAAACCATGATCCGGGCACACTTCTTTGTGGTCGAGTAATTTGAGTATTTGTCAATGAGTACCTATACCAGACGAAATTTTGCTCTTTTTTTCGGGATTTACTCTCGTCTGAAGTATGTTCGAGCAATCAATTGTGCTGATTTTGAATCGGCATTGAAGTCTACATCGAAATATTGGCAGTAAATATGCGAAACTTGCTCTATTGTGATATTGTGTTGCGAACAACCTGATATTTGTATACAGTGGTCTTTGTTAAGAACGTTGCGTACGATTTTTCAGAATTTGTTAGCTGTTTTTTTTGTCAAAAACCTGGGCGAGGATTGTTTTGAAAAAAAATGGAATGATTTTTGCTCTTGTAACTAAGGAAATAATGCTCAGTACTTTATGGATCGATTTCTATTGGTCGATGCAATCTCGAATCTGATTGGGCGTCATGCTAATTTTGCATCGATAAAGATCTATATGTTTATATGACTACGAAACGTGATATAGGGACGTAATCAACAAACGAATAAGAGCAAAGACCAACTAAATTTACGTCTAAACGTCAGAGAACGTTGCTATTAAAACTCTAAACGGCGACAAAACGACATCAATATGAGCTGCCCTTACTCAGCAGAAATAGCCTTAAACGGCATCGTTTTCACTCCGGTGAAAAACACTCCGTAATCTAAGATGCTAAATTAGAACTCCAAAACAATGGAAAACGAATTGGATTTTTCGCTACTAACGAGAGAAATTGAGTTGTTTCATGCTTTCTACGATGCTGTTTTTAAGGGACGGAATGATCGACTTAAGATGCGAAAGTGTCAGGATATTTATGAGAAACAAACGACACGGTTAGTGTTATAATGTATTAACTCGATGATAATAAATAGATAGCAATGCACTGTTGAGTTTAGAATATAATCAAGCAACAACAATAACAATACTTGTCGGTATGATTGCTGTCCCTCTAATATCCGTAGATACTGGGTGGGCTAAAAGTCAGTTAACCGAAGAAAAAATTGAATATCTCTGTCATAGCTTGGCCAAATGGGCGGATTTTTTACCAATAATAGAGACGTATACATAGGTCATATCCATAAGGACAAGATTGGAGAGAATCGTTTTAAAGTATTACTACCGGCTTCAACAAAAATTTTTCTCTCTCACAGATACAATAAAACACAATGTGGGATGAACAAAAACCATTTTACCAAGATAAAGTATAAATGATCAAATCAAATTTTGACCATCACATGCTGTTCATTCGTATATCTTTTCTCTCTCTATTTTTCTTCTTTTGCTTTGCTACTCCACATGTATAATTAGTACGATATAAATCTCTTTTCTTCGTACGCTGTTAGCCATATTCGTATACTACCGCTGTCCACACTTGTTTGTGTTCTCTCGCTTGTTCTTCATTTTTGATTTTATATCCATCGTATATCGTTTTTTTCTGAGCTTGTCTGTTTTGTAAAAGATGCAAAGATATCTAACGAAAGAACAAAGAATATTTGTCTTCAAATAGTGGTCGATATCTGGAAGAACATGTCAAGCAGTAAATGAAGCTTTTCAAAATGAATTTTCTAACGACAAGATGCCATGCAGACAAACAATTTATAAACTTGCGAAGAAGTTTGATGAAACAGGTAGTGTGGATGATGCACCATGAAGCGGCAGACCTACAACAGCAAAAAACGGAAGAAAACATTCAACTTCTGTCTGAAGCTTTCGTTCTGAATCCACAAACATGTCAACGACGTGCATCAAGTGAGCTTCAAATCTCACGCACAAGTTTACGACGTATAATGGAATATCTCAAGTTAAAGTCGTATAAACGATGATTATTACAAGCCTTGAACAACAATGATCCGGATCGACGGGTAGAATTTTGTGAATGGATTATAAGTTCTACACAAGAAAATCCAACTGTACTTGATCGAATTCTGTGGACGGACGAATCCACCTTCCAAGTGAACGGCCGAATTAACAGACATAATTGTGTATATTGGACTGATACAAATCCACACCTTATCATCGAGCAAGAACTCAATGTACCACGTGTAACTGTCTGAGGAGGAATTTAGTTTAATGGTGTTGTTGGTCCATACTTTTTTGAAGATAATGTTACATCACAAAATTATGTTCGAATGTTGAAAGACACTATCGTGCCACATCTTCAAGCACATCCAGCCTTTCAAACAGTGATCTGGCAGCAAGGTGGTGCACCACCACATTATGGTCAGGTTGTACGATATCTTTTAGATGACACATTTTTAGATTGGATTGATCGTCGAGGAACTATCGAATGGCCTCCACATTCTCCTGACTTAATGTCTTGTGATTTCTCCCTATGGGGAATTGTAAAAGATCATGTCTATGCACAAAATCCTCGTGATATAAACCATATGAAGTCGTTGATTGAAGAAGAATTTACATTACTCAATAGTAACATTGAATTATGTCAAGTAATATGTCGCTCTGTAGCTGATCGTTGTCAAATATGTCTGGACAATGAAGGCAAACAATTTGAACACCTATGTTAGAGTACAGTTTATCTATTTCTGAAGCATATAAACAAATATATTTATTCTTGCATGTTAGTGTTTCTTTGTTTAATATCAATAAGAATTATGACACGCATTTGATAAGAAAAAAAGAAATATAAGCGAACATTTTTGAATTAACGTGGTAAAATGGTTTTTGCTCATCCCACATTGTTTTTTATTGTATTTGTGAGAGAGAAAAATTTTTATTGAAGCCGGTAGTAATACTTTAAAGCGGTTCTATCCAATCTTGTCCTTATGGATATGACCTATCTATACACCTCTATTATTAGTAAAAAATCAGTCCATTTGACCGAGCTGTGACAGAGATATTCAATTTTTTCTTCGGTTAACTGACTTTTGGCCCGCCCTGTACATTTAGATTTTTTATGAATGTTCTGTAATTGCCTACTATCTCACACATATTATACAAAAGACAAAACACTGCATAACTCTGTTATAAAGTACCAGCATTTATATTTAAGTCAGTTAAAACTAAAAGACATTTAATGACGAATGAATGAAGGCGAGAAAACGTATCACATTTTTTCAGACATTCTTTTTGAATCTCCACATTACTTATCTTTTGATTGTACAAAATATATGAATAAACACCAAAAATAGCAGAGGGTAAGTATATTCTATTTTCAAATGAAATTGTATTTATTAATCAATTTTCTCTCGTTTTACTTTTAGGAACAACAATTGCAAGCATTCTACTGACATTTTTAACTTCCCTTCAACCCACTTTTACAACAACAAAGACATTTTTCCATCACCCCTACCCATATCATTTTTTCGTAGTTAGAACTTTTTTTTTCGTAGTTAGATTTTTTTTCTTTATTGTAGTTAGCATTTTTCTTTTTTTTTCGTGTTAGATTTTTTTCTTTTTTGTAATTAATTTTTACCAATATCAATAAACATATATATACCAGAAAAATTGTCTACTTAATTAAAAGAAAATATCAGATAAACGTGAAAAAGATCGGAGCGATTCATGATTTCAAAAAACGAATTCTTTAACAATAAATTTTTTATATATGAAATTACGTATTTATTGATTCTTATATTCAAGCAGAGTCTCATCATACAATATTGCGACGACAGTTACACGATAAAATATGGCGTG